ACACATTTCTATTTGAAGATACATACATGTTCTCCAGAAAATAATCCAAGAAACTGTATATAGTTCCATTTCTAAGAAACTAGGGAAACCATTTACTTTCAGGGAAGTGTATTTGATCTGGAAGTGAACTTGATGGCTTAAGGATAGGGAAGGAGAGTTTTTTCACTATATATTATTTTGAATTTTAAATCAGTCAAGTTGATTACTTATAGAAAGTTTTAAGAATAAAAATAAGATTGTAAAATGGTTAAGCAAATTGGCCGTTATAGGGAAAATAAATCAATTTGATTAGCTTTCTAATTTCCTATATATGTATAACAAATTCCAACTGGATTAAAGGACTAAATGAGAAAATAAAAATTTTAAATCCTTGAGAATGTACAAGAACATTAGAGTTGGGAAGTTTGTCTTAAGACACAAAAGCAGGCTGGGTGTGGTGGCCCACTCCTGAAATCCTAGCACTCTGGGAGGCCAAGGTGGTGGATTGCTTGAGCTCACAAGTTCGAGTCCAGTCTGAGTGAAAGAAAGAACCTGACTCTACTAAAAATAAAAAAACTGAGGCAGGAGGATCACTTGAGCCCGAGTTGGAGGTTGCTGTAAGCTATGGTGCCACGGCACTCTACCCAAGGGTGACAGCTTGAGACTCTGTCTCAAAAAATAAGTAAATAAGATACAAAAGCATATGTAATAAAGGGAAAAGAGGCTGGGTGTGATGGTTCATGCCTATAATCCCAGGATTTTTGGGAGTTAAGGCAGGAGGATCCCTTGAGATCAGCAATTGGAGACCAGCCTGAGCACCACAACAAGACCCCACCCATCTCTAAAAGAAATTAAAAAAAAAAAAAAAAAAACCTTAGGGCAGTGCCTGTGGCTCAGAGGAGTAGAGCCCCGGCCCCATATGCCAGAGGTGGTGGGTTCAAACCCAGCCCCAGCCAAAAACTGCAAAAAAAAAAAACCTTAGCTGAGCATGGTAGCACACATGCATTATCCCAGCTACTTGGGAGGGTGAGGTGAAACAATCATTTGCACCCAGGAGTTTGAGGCTACAGTGAACAATGATTGCATCACTGCACTCCAACCAGGGCAACAGAGTCAGACTCTCAACAAAGAAAAAAAAGGAAAAGAGCAATTAGAAGATAGGACACAACTATAGCCCAGAGAAATGGAGTGGGAAAGGAGGGGAGAGGGGAGGTTTGACAGAGGGAGAGTAAAAGGCAGTAGAACCTCAGTTAAGTTGATCACCCAAGGGACTGTAACAAACTGGTTAACGTATGGAGGTGGTCAGTATAAGAAGCAAGGCCAGGCTCACACTTACGGAGCATATGACAGGGGTACAAGTCAAATCTGTGAAGTATAGAACATAGATGTTTTGGCACAATAATCAAGTAAATGAGGTGAAAACTATGATGATTGGTTTAATGTAACCACGTCAGATTGTATTTAAAAAAATCAGCACATTGTACCCCACATATGCATGAATGTATTCATGATCTATGTGTATTTGACTTACTAAAAAAATTAAAAAGAAGAGTAATTAATCTGCCTGTATTAAAATTTAAAAATGACATAAAATACCATAAGCAAATGCCATGCCAACTACAGACTGAGGAACAGTTGTTGTAATACGTAATTATCAAAGATTCAGTGTCCAGATTATATAAAGAACTCCTACAAATCAATAAGGAAAAACGATTAAACACTTTAACTGAATAACATGCAAGAAATATATGAATGGGCAGCTCACTGGTGCCCTTGCAGCTGAGCTATAGGCGCCAAGCC